AAAAAAAAAAAAAAAAAAAAAAATCACCTGGGAATTCCGTTAAATGCATTTGAATCATGGGTTAGATCAGAGATACTGTATTATATTTTTAAATTCGAGACAGGGTTTTACTATGTAGTTCAAACTTGCCTTGAACTCACAATATGCCCAGACTGGCCTCAAATTTAAGGCGATCCTCCTGCCTCAGCCAGGCAGGCACAGTACCCCTGAGCTACAGCCCGGCCCCTTCTTGATCACATGGCGCAGCTATGAAACAGAAGATGGCAGTGTAAATTGTAACATGATTAAAATGATGAAATATACCAGTAGGATAGGAAAGTAGGAAGACATGTATGTGGGTGTGCTGGGGAAAATGGGAAGAGGAAATCCAAATCCTCCTCTTCCGTAGGTAGAAGTTAATGCCTAAAACTGATACAAAAGTAGCTGGTTGATCAAGTTATGTACAACCCGGACAACAAAATTGTAGAGGGCAAAGGACGTGAACACTTCCCGAAATGAACACAAGTACCATCTCAGCACATGAACACACGCTGAACTTTGCTCACTGAAAAAGGTTCTGTTGTGCCGGGGATGTAGCTCAGCGGTGCTGCCACCTGCCTCGCAAGCATAGGGTCCTGAGTTGGATCCCCGGTACCCCCAACTCCGATCACAGTATGTTGCATAGCAATATACTATACTAAGAAGATTTCTGAAACCTGTTTTTTTGAGACAGGGTCTCACTATCCGATCCAGGCTGGCCTTGAACTCATGGCGGTGCTGGGATTACAGGTGTGCGCCATCATGCCTGACCACCTAATCTATGACCAGATGAAGTCTCAAATACTCTTCCTTACACGTTGATACCAGGATTGAAAAAAGCTCTGCACTCACTTCCCCAGGCTCCCTTGTAGCTAGATATGGACTTGTGCCACAGCTCTAACACTGAAACTTAGGTCAGTCTTCTGGGAAGGATTTTGATAAATCTTTTGGTTTTTCCTTTCCTGTGATACCGGGGATCAAACCTGAGCCATTATATTGAGCTATATTCCCAGCCTCCTTTTAAAGTTTGAGACAGGATTTAAATCACTAAGTTGCCCAGGGTGGGCTTTAACTTGTGATCCTCTTGCTTCAGCCTCCTCCCAAAAAGCTTAGATACTGATATGTACCGCTGCACTGTTCTTTTTTATTTTTTGAGACAGGGTCTCACTATGTAGTTGAGACAGACTGACCTGGAACATACTATGTAGCCCAGGCTGGTCTCAAACTCACAGCAATCCTCCTGCCTCAGCCTCCCGAGTGCTGGGATTAAAGCCCTGTGCCACCACGCCCAGCAACTGTTACTGTGTTATTTTAAAAAGTTTTTTTGAGACAGGGTTTTGCCATATAGTCCAGGCCTTGAGTTCACTGTGTAGCCCTGGCTGGCCTCAAAGTCTTGGTGATCCTCCTGCCTCAGCCTCCCATGTACTAGAATCACAGGCATACACCACACTAGGCTTATGCTTTATATATATTTTTTAGTTTTTAAAATTTTAAAAAGTTTTGGTACTGGGGATCGAACTCAGGATCTTGTACCCATGAGACAGGCAGGAGAACCACTGAGCTAAATCCCCAGCCCTGATGCTTTATTTTTAAATGGGGACAGAAGTGGCTAGCTAGCACAACTGTCATTTCTTCCTGCTATAAACTCATGTAAATGTCTGGTGCTGTCAGCCCTTTTAACAACTTGAGATGACAAACCTAAGGGTATGAGAAACACCCCATGGATAGTGGGGTGGAAAGATACAAAGAGGGCATTCCCTACAGGCTATCTACCACCTATAATAAGCTCCTTGGACTTCATATAACTAAAAAATCAGAATCCTGTTTAAGTCCCTCATTGTTTTCTGTTCCACAGTTAAACACATTCCTGGGGGATATACATTTCCAAAGAGGGCAGTTCTTTTTTTTTTTTCGTTCTGGGATCAAACTCAGGACCTTGCACTTGTGAGGCAGGCACAGTGCCACTGAGCTACATCCCCAGGCTGTGCAAAAGGGACAGTTCTGAATCACGCTTTACAGACATTCTCTCCCCTCCCCATCCAGTATTTATATGTCAAATATATAAAACTGTTACATTATATTCACTATAAAACATTCAATAGGAATTTTTAGAGTAAAAAAAAAAAAGTAGAACTTTTCTCTTTCTTGTAGAGGCAGCGACTCAGCATGCTGTCTAGGATGGTGTGGAACTCCTGGGCCCCAGCGATCCTCTGCCCGCCGAGAGGCTGAGACCCCACAGTGTGCTACCACTCTTGGCTAGAGATCAGGACTTCTTCAATTTTGTTGTTCAGAGCACACTTTTCAAGGTACAAGCAAAGGTAATTTTTAGGACTCCAATGGAAACAAGGTTTGGCTTTACTGAGGGGGGAATCCAAAACTTCCCTCATATTGGACAAGTGGATACCCATGTCCTTAAACCTATAAAATATACACACTTAGTTTAAAATCTAGAACTTTCCATCTGATAAATTAGAAACTGAGCATGATATAGTAATAGATTAAAAGAACACGATCTACAGTAACCATTTACTGACTTCCTCACAAGAGGAGGTACTACTTTTGCTGTAGGCTCACACTGTCCAAGTACACATAACCTCTTTTATTCGCATTGATAACTTCCTCTCCTGGCATTACTTTCCTCATGAGCAAAAACAACAAAGGCAGTTTAAAAATTTATTTCATTAACTTAAAAGGTGAACAAAATGTGTACTTCAAATCTTATTAAACACAGAGGGCAGACGCAGGATTTCTCTTAACTTCTGGAATAGTCCACTGTCCATTTAAAAATACTCATTCTTCCACAAAAACTATTCATTGAAATGTTCTTCTTTTACACTGCACAGCAGGTAGATGTAGACTGTGAGTGTGCTGTGCTCTGATGTACTCATTTCCTTTTAACTCTGGTGATGAAGATGGCAGGCACCAATGTTCACAGTGCGGACGACTGACGCAAAGGAAAAGCTGTTTCCCTCAGCTACAAAGAAGCCTTCATCATGTCCCTTACAGTAGGGTCACCTGCTTGGTGCGCAGAGATCACTTCTTCTTCTTTCCTTTTCCCTTTTTACTTCCCTCTCCTTGCTGAAGATTTGGGTCACCGCCTCCTGTTTTCTGTGTCCTTGTTTTCAGTTTAGGTATCATTTCTGCTGCATACAACATTACTGACTTACCTAGGAACCAGAAGGTAGGTTTAGTATATAATCCAAGAAACAAGACATAAAAAGTTATTAACATAAATATGATACAGTCCAAGAAACTATCATATCAAGAAAATGGAAATTTGCCGGGCATGGTGGCGCACACCTATAATCCCAGCACTCGGGAGGCTGAGGCAGGAGGATCACTGTGAGTTCGAGACCAGCCTGGGCTACATAGTGAGTTCCAGGTCAGTCTCAACTACATAGTGACACCCTGTCTCAAAAAACCAAAACCACAAAAAAGAAAATGGGAATTAAAAAAATCAGAGGACAGTGAAGACTTGCTCAAGTGGATGCCTCTGCTGAAGAAAATGTACTAAGAACACACTGAAAATATTTAAAAGAACAAAATCCCACACTTAGTAAAATACTTAAGCTTAAAACAAGAATTCTGGTCTTGGTCCTAGTAACTGGTCCGAAAATCAGTGGAGACTGTATCCAAACACAACCAACTACGGAGTTAGACTATGACTGTACCTTAAGCTACTGAAACACAGGGTCTCAGCCTTGTCACAAAAAACCCAAATGTCCTTCCTAACTACATCCTTACTTGGAAGCCCAGATGACCTACTACACCCACACCCATGCTTTATCTTTGTACGACCGGCTGTCTTCCTTATGCCAACACACCCTGCTCTGTGGCTTGCTCTACTGTCTTACTAGAAATTGGAAGCAGTATCTTTTAAATCACAGTATTCACATCTATTTGTTTTGGCTGATGTTTCTTAGGGTCTTTTGAGACAGCATAAAACAATGCTAAAGAGGAGAGAGAGAACATCAGACTATACCATCAGCACTGAGTCAGGGGCCTAAGTTTCTAGCAGATTTCCTGTCTCCTAACAGAAGTTGGTACATAAAAATTAACTTACTAGAATTTGATTAAAAACAACTATACTCTGTTTGAATATTACTGTTTTTAGTTGAATTAAATGGAAGTTTATTTAATTAAACTGAAGAGAAAAAAATTAAGCAAATAGTGTCTTTTTTTTTCTTTGTAGCACCTGGGATAGAACCCAGGGCCTTTGAACTGTGCTAAATCCCCATCCCTTTTCCTATTCTGAGCCTGCTTGGAGTTTCAAGCAGGGGAGCACAGCTACTCATACACCCTTGACCAGGGAAACGCCCTCCTCTATCGGGGTGGTCGTCCTCTTCTACCGAGTGCGCAGCTTTGGGTGGGACGCACATGGTACGGTGAGCGGGGAGGGGACACCGCCTGCCAGTCAGATCAGCTGTATCAACCCTGGCCATCAATGGGGTGACAGATGTTGCACCCAGATTGCCCTTACATCCCTCCTTTTCCTATTTTATGACAGGTCTTGCTAAATTGCCAGAACTTGCAGTTCTCCTGCCTCAGCTTCCCAGACTACGGAGATGCAGACTTCTACCACTATGCCCAGCTTAACGCTCCATTTCTTAAAATATATTTTGAAATAAAAAATTGAGAAAAAATTAACATATAAACATTTTACCAATACCTGAGCTAACATTTTTATCTAACATTTTAAATATGGTTGTCTTTGTTATTTTTGTTTTTTAAGAAATAAAATATTGGGCTGGGGATTAAGCTCAGTGGTTCTGCCGCCTGCCTCTCAAGCACAAGGACCCAAGTTCGATCCCCAGTACCAAAAACAAAAACAAAAACAAAAAAGAAATAAAATATTAAAGACAATCCTACAAACTTTGAAAATTAGACTGCCACTACAGTTAGGTAACTGTCTTAAAAGTGGGTATTTCTAAGGCAGAGCGGCACAACCCTCTAATTAAAGCACTTGGAAGGCTGAGGCAGGAGGATCACAAACCTGAGCACCACTTGGGCAATTTTACTGACACCTCATCTCAAAAGAAAAAATTTAAGTAGAAAGGGCTTACGTTGTAGCTCAATGCAAAGGTCCTATGTTCAAATCCCAGTACCACACACACAAAAAGGGTTTCCTCCCACTCCATTTCAAAAACATTAATGAACAATATTAAGCATGTCTACTGGTGAACAGTATGTTTTATCTTTAAATTTACCTGAATGGTACCATACTGCCTATTTCTTGCTTTTTCCATTCAATATTGCTCTTTAGATTTACTGAATTAACAGATGTCAAGGGTCTCTAGGACCTGAAAATTAATATCCATCATTTAATTATTTCAAATGAGATGACAGCCTTCCAGAATAAAATGTTTATTTTTTAAAAGAACAATTAGTAGGTTCCATCACATTTTTCAAAGAAGTTATTGCCGGGTGTGGTTTCACATGCCTACAATCCTTGCCACTCTGGGAGGCTGAGGCAGGATGATTACAAGTTTGAGCCCAGCCTGGGCAACTTGGTAAGGCCCTGTCTCAGTATGAAGAAAGGGCTGGGGGTATAGCTCGGTGTTAAGTTCAATCCCCAGTACTGGGGTAAAAAAGTTATTGACCTCTGTTGTTCCACCAGCAGTCCATGCTCTAAATTCATTTATACCTCAAAAGGTCACTTGTAGAATCTTCTTTGCATTGAACAATAACCTATTCTTGAGCAGGTTTTAATCGTTAAAAGAAAGGGGGAGCTTACGCGATGGGAACTGTCCCAGGCAGAGGCTGCCATCTTCCTGCTTGAGCTGGACCCGGACTCTGCCTCTGTACTGAACATCACGATTCCATTCCCTAGAGTACATTTTATGTTTCTAGCATAAACAAAACAAAACAAAAGTAGGCTTTAAGAAAGTTACTACATCAGTGAGATGAGCATGGAAAATGGTGAAGATTCACATCATACCTCAAGAAATGCATTGAGTCCAACTGCTGAGCATACGTCTTGAATCTCTGTAGCTGTAGGATTTTCAACAGCCTGAACAGTTAAAAACAAAATCACTAAGTAGTTTATCTTTAAGTGGACAGTGTTGTATGAATGTAAATCATTTCAAATACTATGATCAAAACATGTCCAGGGCTGGGGATTTAGCTCAGTGGTTCCACTGCCTGCATCACAAGCACAAGGACCTGAGTTCGATCTCCAATACCAAAACAAACAAACCAAAAACCAAACCAAAACAAAACAAAAAACAACATGTCCAAACCTTAGGTCCTTGTTTTTCCTAGGTACACCTGTTTCAACTATAATTTTAAAAATTTCTAGCAAACCGGATTGCAAGCCTGGGCTACTTAGTGAGACCCTGACTCAAACCACCACCAAATAAAGCAAAACAAAAAGGACTGGGGTAAAAAAAGACTGGGGATATAATTCAGTGCAAAGGCCCTGGGTTCTATTCCCAACATAAAACAAACAAAAACATCCTACCACCCTGGGAGGAGCACTGATGCATACTTGTCTCTCCTCTCTCTCTTCTAAAGAACGTAAACTTCATGAGGGTAAGGCTTGATTTTGTGCGCGAGCACATTCCTCAGCATGGTCCTTTGAACACAGCAGGTCATCAATGAATGCTGACTGATTAAACTGTTACAGAAACCTCTAGAAACCAGCAGTACTTACTAAAGCTGAACACATGGTTCCCTATGGCCTTGCGATTCCACCCTAGGTATATATTTAACAGAAACACAAACAAGACAAGCTCGAGAGTACTCCCAGCAGCACCATGTACAACAGCCCCAGGTTGGAAATCCCATTATCCATGAACTGAAGAAAGGAGTGTGGTATAATCACACAATGCAGAATTACAGAGCAGTGGTTTCCAGCAGGGGCATTTACATGCATCTGGCAGTTGCTTTGAGACAACAAAGGGAGACAGATCTCTTAAAATGCATGAGGCAGTCCTCTACAACAATTATCTGGCTCAAATGTCAATGGTGCTGCTGTTAAACTAAACTACTACAGAGCAACGAAAATCAAACTGTATTAAAGGAGTGGGGGTGTTCCCCAGTGGGAGGTACATGCTTAGCAAACCCAAGGCCCTGGGTCCATTCTTTAGCATCAAAACATACCAACAGCAAAAACCTACACACCAACATATGGGTAAACCTCTCATCAGTTAAGAGTTTAGCGGAAAAAAAAGACACAAAAATTCACTGTCTTGGAGGGGGACATAAAGGAGTCTTCCTGCAAAGCAGTAAATTTTTTTTGAGATGAAGATTTCACTATGCAGCCCAGACTGGCTTGAACTCTCGATCATCCTGTCTCAGCCTCCAAAGTGCTAAGATTATAGACAAAATCAGCACCACTACACCAGGCTCGGTAATGTTTTTTATAATTGGGGGCTGGTTACTGAGAAGTACCCCCTTTGTGAAAAGTGATCGAGCTTACACCTAAGACACATTTATGTTCATATCTGATGTATACCAATAGTTTTCTTTTTTTTAATTCATTCTTTAGAGAGAATTTGAGTGCTTGTAACCATGGTCTGTCACAGTGGCTTGATGTTGGTTGGGCATTATTCTGAACAACTGCTTTAGTATCTTTCCCTGAGGCAGCAAAAGCAGACTTTCCTTTACACATTTAAGTTGCAGCAAAATGAAAGATAAATAGCTAATTCACTGCCTCAGATCAAACTGCCTGCAATCTGTCATTACATTATAAAACATAAATGACTCTTTAAAAATAGAATGTAAGGCTAGGGGTTTGGCTCAGTGGTTCCGCAGCCTGCCTCGCAAGCACAAGGGCCCGAGTTCAATCCCTGGTACCAAAAAAAAAAAAAAAAAAAAAAAAAAAAAAAAAAAAAAAAGTAATACTACTCTGGTTTCTCTTCAGATCATATAAATCTTTCGCCTTTTTAAAAATAGAATGTAACATCAGTTTTAAATAGCAAAGTTTCTACAAAAACCCTGGCATTAGGTTCTTTCTGAACTAAAGCCAAAGTCCAAAGGAAAAGGTGTTTTCTATCCAAAAGGCACAAAGGAGAAATTTTAACTTTGCAACTGTGATCCCTACTCCCTTTCAAACCCAAGGCCTCCCACATGACAGGCGAACACTGTTCCTGTGAACTACAACTCTGGCCACTACATCTCACTTTTAAAAAACTAAACTGTATTCTGGACCTTCTATTGTATAATGTCATCATTTTGATTTCTTTTACTGAAGATTTCCTTTACTGTAATAACATTGGTTAAAAACAAAAACAAACTACAGACCCTTTGCCATCAAAGCCTCATGAAGAACCATTTTTTAAAAATCCCTCCATTTATGCAATTGGGCTTTTCTGGTTTCACCAACACTAAGGAAAAGGACTTCACATCTTGGCTGCTGTTCTCCTCAGGCCTGAAAGAATGCAGTGAATTAAAAAGAAGCGAAGCGCCCCATCCCTTGAAGCACCACTGCTCACCTTACTTACTGGGATCCGTCTCCCTTCTGCGATGGTTTTCTTATTATTTAAATAAGCAGGGTAGATACAAATAAACCTGCCACAGAAAAAGCACAGCTGGTGAAACTAGCGCAGTGTTTAAATGCATGTAATCTATACATTTGCTTAACAGTTTTTCTTTGAATTGCCTTTTATCTAACTCACTTAAAAAGAAAACTATTCACACCGTTGGGTGGTTAAAAAAAATCACTTGTTAGAGGTGGAAAAACAACAACAGCTAGTGTAGTGGCGCAAGCCTGTGATCCCAACACCCAGGAGGCTGAGGTAGGAAGACCTCATGGGCTACACAGCGAGTTGAAGGCTGGCCTGGCGACATCCTGTGTCAAACAACTCTTGACAAACACCGCTTTGAAACAAAACGATGCGGTAACTGTCCCGTAGACACAAGTGCCTGTCAACAGTTTCTGAAGGTGATCCCTATCCTCTTAAACGAAAAATGCTGTATCAGAGGTACCAGAGGTTCAGAGTCTTTCTGAACGAAAAAGTAAAATGCCAACATGGTCCTCACGTTGTGACCCTGTCATTTCACGTCCTCACAGCAACCACAAGCTTGGAATTTGAAGGTCTCCGCGGAGAGCTGGCGCTGCAGGCTTCCCGGAGGAGCCAGCCGCTCCGGAGAGGCGCAGGCCGTGAGGCTCAGGCCCTCCCCGAGGCCCGGGTGCGTGGTGACGAGGGCCCAGCACCCGCGGCGCCGCAGGAGGCCTGTATTTCTCAGGACCCACCTGTCTTGGTCTGCCGGGGACCGTGCAGCGGCGCAAGCCATCTCCACACAGACGCGGACCTCACAGGACCGGTAGCGAGTTCGGAAACCAGCGGAAATCCCAGGCTCTTCCGGGGGAAGTCCGCTATTGGGCGGAAGTCCTGCCCATCAAAAAGGCCCGAGAGAGCCTGTTGTCGCGGCCAGTTGGTTCCGGTTCCTGTCGCTCTGCGCCCGGTTCCTTAGTTCCTGACGTGGCTTGTAAACTCTCTCGCGAGAAGATCACAAAGCTCGCGAGAAGATTATTTTTCTGGAATCTCGCTGCTGTGTTCCGGGGCTTTGCTCTTCTTTTTAGCCTTTTTACAATCTCAGACCCTCTTCCACACCGAAGTTGTTAGATGGTGCTGTTCACGCTCGGGCAGAGGTGAAGGCTGCACACTTAGGGGAGTCTGTGTGATTTGGAGCGAAATACAAGTTAAAGCAAGCAAGAAAATGCCTTTTTTCTTTTTTTGAGACAGGGTCACCAGGCTGGCCTCGTGGCGATTCTCCTGCCTCAGCTTCCCGCGTGCTGGGATTGCAGGCATGCGCCGCTACTACGCTCGGTTGAAATGCTGCGCCCGCTTGCTATCAGCTTGGCAAAATTGAATTTTTACAGTGGAACTAGCAATTGTTGGCCGCGTGCTTCAGTGTGCTGTATAAATGTTAGAGGCTTGAATTTTAAACCGCTGAAGGACATTTTCTAGTCTAAATTTAATGTTCTTCAGTGCCTGCAGTTGATAGGTAGGGACGGAAGAACACCTCAATCTTTGGAACTCAGTTAAAATGACAAAATAGATGAACAAGAGAAAAGGATAATACAGATTTTATGTATGCTTCTGGAACCTTCATTAGGAACTAAGGAGCCAAGGAGCAGTCAGCTACTTATATCCTGGATTGGATGAAGAAGAGTTGTGAAGAGGCAACTGCGTTACCCGGGAGGTTTACGAGAAGAGTTACGTTACCAAGGTCTGTACAGTATTCTCTTGGAGCCTGGCGCGGTGGCCCACGCCTGTAATCGCAGCACTGAGGGAAACTGAGGCAAGAGTTGGGCAAGCCGAAGTCCTGACTGAGCGGTTTATCGAGACCCTATCTAAAATAAACATAAAAACAAAATAGGGGTGTAGCTCAGTGAAAGGCCCTGGGTTCAAGCCCCAGTTACCCCTCCGCGAAAACCCCGTTTCCACTCGTCATCTTGGAGGATAAGGATGTGCGGTGTCTCCTCCCAGGAGAGGGAGAGTGGGAATTTGATGTGCTTTTCAGAAAGAGCATGAGGCTGGGGTGTAGCTCAGTGGTGGAACTGCCTGCCGGGCATGCTGCGCACCCAGGGTCAGATTCCCGCCCTTCAATCAGGGTGAAGCGCAAAGCGATCTTTAACCTGCTGCTTTTCAAGTCTCCACCCTCAGCATTCAGTGTGTCTCAATAGCATGTTTTTAACCTCTTCCATTGCAAAGCAGTATACTATTTCAGCATTTCCGTTCAACCATACTTTCATTTCTCCTTTAGTAATGGCTATTTATTCCTCCTCTACAGAACTTTTCAGACAAAACACGCCCTCCCCCACACAAAAAACAACCCAAAGCCAACACCAGAAATGGTAAGATGCTTTTACACATGAAATAGCAAACTGAAAATCAACAAAAATCTCCTCCGGAGCTCGAGTCAGGGAAGGTGGGTGACCGTCATCTGTACTCGGGGCAGCTGAGCGTGGATGCCAGGCTGGCCTGGCCTCAGGGGCGGGCCCACTTCCCTCCATTCCACTGCTTCGTGCTGGAGTTCGCCAGATGATGTTTGGTCCCGATGTAGATGAATAAGTCTTACTCTTTAAAGCGTACTGGACTCCTGGAAAAAGTCATTTGCAATGACCTAAAGTAAAGGAATGGGAATTAAATGAATCCTGGCTTATATTTTTCCTGTTGCTGAGATAAAATACCTGACACTTGCAACCTACTTATTTTGGCTCATGTGTTAGGAGTTTCAGTCCTTGAGTAGTTGGCGGGTTCCAGGCAGGCAGGGTTGGTGGAAGGGCCTGGGTACAGGGAAGCTGCTCACCTGGCAGAGCAGAGGAGCCTGGGAGGGAGGCGCACCTTCCCGTCAGGGCCCTGGTCACCTTTCTTCCCCCCAGACCCCACCTGCTAACAGAGGCCAGCTCTGAGCAACCTGATCCAATCATCTTTCAAAACCCCACCTAGGAGCACATGAGGCCCTTGGGGGGACATCCAGAAACTAAAAAAAAAGTAACAGCAAAACTTTAAAAGTACATATTTTGCCTGGTGTGGTGGTGCCTGTAATCAAGGCATTTGGGAGGCTGATGCAGGAGGATCAACAAGGCCAGCCTGAACTACATAGCAAGACCCTGTCTCAAAACAAAATTTTTAAAATCTGTTTTAGGGACACACACACACACACAGAGAAATGAACAAGATAGCCTGAGGCTTAATAATGCAGTAGTCTACTTGCCAAGGAGTTGTTTTGTAGAGCCATGTATGTAACAGGAAATTAAAAAGGCCAGTATTGCTGGGATTTAGCTCAGTGATTTGCGGGCCTGAGTTTGATCCCAGTTATAAGAAAAAAAAAAAAAGGCCAATATTAAAATTGGTGGTTACATTTTTGGGTTCATCCACAAATTAATGAATGAAAGAACAGATGGAGTTAATGTTCGTCTATGTCAGATCCATACTCCTATTTAACTCTATCCTGTTTATTGTACAAAGAGAGCCTTGGTTTCCATACTGCAAAGCGAGATAAAGGAAGTAAAGGAGGAGCAGCAATAATAAAAGAGATAATGTGAGAAGACTCAAGATTAAAAAGTCTAAAGGGTTGTAGGAGGAAATGAACAGCTGTAGGTTTGCTAGTAAATTTTTTTTTTAACAAAGGTAGAAAAAAACATAAACATACAGGTAGGAAATAAAAGTTATATATAATGGAAAAATCCAGAGTGATACTTGAACTTCTTAGCAATAGTAATGCTAGAAGCTAAGAGTCTGAGGAAATTGAATTGTGACTCAACTCGTCCTTTGTGTGAAGGCAAAAGAAAGCAATTTTAAACCAAGCATGGATTTATAAAGTGTATCTTCAATCTTTCATTTCTGAAAAAAAAAAAAACTACTTGACAAAATTCTTCACCTAAACCAAATTAACATAAATTTAAAGAAAAGCAAAGATATGTAAGTAGAGGAAATAATAGTGAATACTGAAATCAAGTTGTACTTAGGTTTAATAATTATTGATAAGATTTTTCTTTGTTTTTTTCTTTTTTTTGAGACAGGGTCTCACTATGTAGTTGAGACTGACCTAGAACTCACTGTGTAGCCCAGGCTGGTCTCGAACTCACAGCGATCTTCCTCCCTCAGCCTCCTTAGTGCTGGGATTACAGGCGTGTGCCACCCCACCCAACTGATGAAGCTAATTTTAATGAAGAAAACATTCTGAAAGTTAAAAACAGATTTAAGAACAGATTAAAAACAATTTAAGAATTTATTTTAAATAGAATAAATTAATGCAAGAACAGATTTTACAAAGAACTAGGGCTCCCATCGAAATGGTGTACATCTCACCTCTGAAATCATTCAGCCGCCCAGTCAATCGCCAGGTTCCCACTGCCCGCTGTGCAACACAGCTTGGACTCTCATGGCTCTGCTTCCTCTCCTGTCCGCTTGCTCTTCCCCATCTCTTCTTACCTCCCTGTTGCTGGACTACTCTCAAGAATTTTAGCTATTAAATTTTCTCTAATGTCCCCTTATCCAAATTCTAGATACAAGCTTTACTGCTTCCACACCCACTGAGGTCCTCAGCTAAGGAAAAGGAACCTCTGGCCAGGTGTGGCACAGGCCTGTGATTCCAGCATCTGGAAGGTTGAGGCCCAAGGATGGCAAGTTAGAGACCAGCCTGGGCAGTTTGGCAAGAAAGATCTTGTCTCAGAGGAAAAAGGGCTGGGATGTAGCTTGGGGTAGAGCACTTGCTTAGCGTGTCCGAGGCCCAGGGCTCCATCTCTGGTACTAAACAGGGGTGGTGGGAAGGACCTTGGGGTAAAACTCCTGCAACAGGTTCCACCCCTTTGAGAAGGAAGCTGTGGTTTCAGGTAGTTCGTTTTGTACTAACTCAGCCACTGACACAGTTTTCAGCAGTCCTCTTTGCGCGTGTACCCTCCCCTTCATTCAGTGGTGTCCTTGGCACCTACAGGGCTCCTGACCGAGGCTCATCTTGTTTTTATTGTATTTACTGCACTTCCTCCAGAATTGTACTTTGGCATCAATCTGCCATTACTTTCTTTACATTTATCTATGCAAGTGGGGTTGAATTGATAGTTGTATTCATTCTACATCATTTAAAATGTTTTTCACTAATGGAGGATTTTATTTTATCCAGTTTGACAGTAGTTATTTTATTGTATGCATCTAATACCTTTACTTGGTACTCTACCATTTCATACTTTGTTGTGGCTAATTTTTCCTTCATTTCCCCTTTTATCTTTTTGTTCCAAGTATCGTTAGTTATTTACTAGCTAAAACATGGAAAATTTTATTTTTTAGCATTGGAGTTAACACTAAATAAAAACAAAACTGAAGTTGTGTTTTTCCAAAATAGTGCCTCTTGACACTGCTGTGATTCAAACCTTTTTTTGGGGGGGAACTGGGGATCGAGAGGCAGGCGCTGTGCCATTGAACTAAATCCCTGGCCCCTTATCTCCTCTTTGTAATCCCTGTTTTTCAGTTTGGGTTGAATCATCTTGAATTTGATTAAAATAATTAAGCATTTAATCCTTTCTGCTTTAATTGGGCATTTCCATTGAGATTTATCGCATTGGTCACAATTACTTACACATTTATTCAAGTTTAAAAGCTTTTTTGTTCAAACTCAAGACTGTTAATACCCCCCCTTTCCCCTCCATTTTTGGTGTTTTGAGGCAGGGCCTCACTATGTATTTCATAATTCAAAGAGATCCTCCTGCCTCAGTGTCCCAAGTGCTGGGATTACAAGCATGCACCACCACACCTGACTTAACCCTATTTAATTGTTTGAACAGCTGGGATACTGTAGAAGTACGTCATGGTTTTGGTTACCCATTGTCCCCCCTCCCTCCAGTACTGGGAATTGAACTCTGGACCTGGCGCTTGCCAGGTAGGCTTGGTGATATTGAGCTAAATCCCAGCCCTACCCAGTGTAAAAAATTAACACCAAATTATACAAAATAAGCTCCCAAACCAAACCACAATCAAAATAAACTGGGTGTGGTGGTGCACCTGTAATCCCAGAACTCTGGAGGTGGAGGCAGGAGGATTGTCATGAATTCAAGATCAGCCTGGAATACATAGTGAGGTCAAGGCCAGTCTCAAAACAAACAAACAAAAAGCAAAACCCAAAATAGAAAAAGCTTCCCCAGCTCTGCAGGCATGTGACATATCCTCTGCCAAGCACATCCATCCAAGCCAAGATTTCAATTCTGAAATCAGCAGTGAGAGCAAGCGTCACATTATCTTATTTCAAATGGTAGTGGTGTCACAGGATTCGAGCATTTAGGAGCAGCAAGTGGGTCTTTTCCAAAGCCATCTCACAGTGTAGTTTGGCTGTTGTTCTCACTGCAGTCTCCAAGACATTTTTCTAGTTCTCAGAAGATCCTGAGTTACCTAATATTCTCTAGGTAAATGTCATTTAGAGATATGTCTCATTATGGTTGTTTCAAGTCACAAGTGCCCTCAAGTCAGAAAAAGCATGAGGACTCAGAAGTGGCACAGGCTGAAGTGACTCCGGTGGTGAAGGACTCACGGCTCCTCCCAGCATCTGCCTCCTTCTCTTTCCTCACTGGCTGGTCTTTAAGCTCCATGACGCCAGCCACAGTAATCGGCCTAAGTCTACATGAGTTTTCAGTTCCAGCACGCACCAACCTGAAATATTCTTTGTGAATCTTATTTCAAATGGACTAGGCAAGTCTTTTTTTCCCCCCAAGGAAGGCCACACAAGTATTTTCTTATTGACCAATTGATGAGTCTTTTTTTTGGAGACAGTCTTGGTATTTAGTTCAGGCTGGCCTCAAACGTTCAGTGCCTCTCCTGCCTCAGCCTTCTGAATGCTGGGATTACAGGTGTGCACACCACTCCTGGCTTCAATGAGTCTCCTTTAGTGCAGGTGTTCACCTCTGGGGCAAACAGCCATAGTCAGAGGGAAGACTGGGTACATGGTGCAGTGACCCTCACTGAGGTTGGCTGGATCCCCCAAAGTGGAGGACTGTGTGGCATTTCTTTCAGTAGTTCTCACTAGTGTTGCTTCATTATTATTTTTGGAGAAAGGATCTCACTATGTAACCCAGGCTGGCCTGAACTGGTGATCCTACCTTAGCCTCCCAAGTGCTGGGACTATAAGTGTGCAGGACACCCAGCCACTAGTGTTGCTTTACAGTCAATGGTCACATTCGCTAGTACAGGCTGACACACACACACACATTTAAAAAGGGGGGGGGGGCTGGGGCTGTAGTACAGTTCAAAGTCCCTGGGGTTTATTTATATTTGGACTGTGCTTATAGTGCTTATCTTTAATTTCATTGTTTCCCTAGCATTAACTTTTCAGTGACCTGGTAATTTATAAAGTTTAACATCAAATATCTGATTTGCCAGTTAATGCTTCTATTGGGTATTAGTAAGTTGGATACATTTTTCATTTGAAACCAATTTTCCCTCAGCTCAAAGTTCCATTTTATTACATATCCAAAGAAAATATTTATTGAAGCTACTGCCTTTTACAGTAACTAAATCAGAGGAAACATAAACTGATCTTTCAGACATATGTCTTCAGAAGTACTTTTTCATTCATGTCTGGTGTATGTTCCCTGTAGGCAGCTGAAATGGGCTATGAAATGGAATACCGAATAGCTCAATATTCAAGTCTTTCATGGCAGAGGAAGAATTTATTTGTTGGTAGATTTTTGGGGGTGGGGCAGGTACTGGGGATCGAACTCTGGCCCTTGTGCTTATAAGGCAGAGCCAAATCCCCACCTTATTTGCTGGAAGATTAAAGGTCCAGTTTTGTTTGTTTTGAGACAGGGTCTCACTACATAGTTGAGACTGACCGGAACTCACTATATAACCCAGGCTGGTCTCAATCTCATGGTGATCCTCTTGCGTCAGCCTCCCAAGTGCTGGGATTACAGGTGTGCGCCACCACGCCCAGCAAAGGTCCAGGTTTTGAACTGCTAGAGCCAAAGGCAATTATTCAAGGAACTTCATGGTAACTGAGGGTAATCATTTTCAAACTGTGGTCTTCAGATCAGCAGCAGCACATTTCAGCTTGTTACAAATGCCATTCTTGACCACCCCCCCCAAACCTACTCAAACTGTGGACCAGCTTTTTGCTTTTGTGATGAGGCCTTCCTGAGTTTCCCAGGCTGATCTTCTGCCTTAGAGTTTCCAGTAACTGGGATTACAGGTGTGCACTACTGTGCCTCGCTTTCAAGATGATTCAAATAAGTCTTCGTTGGAAAACCACTGAGCTGCAGTCCAAGCTAAATAGGGCATTGCACCTGCCACCTGGCAATGGCATCACAACTATTAACCAATTCCAGCACTGGGTTTAGTATGCATTTGTCCAAGCACACTCTGGGAGTACCTGGCCTATCATTCATGGCAGAACCCTGTGGACTTTCCAAAGTAGGACTGAGATTTGTCCATTTATTAATTCGCAGCCATCTCTCTTAACTAGAGGGTCTCAGCCAGCAACCCTTTCTTTGAGGAATTACACACACTGATTGGCCCTTCTCCCAGCAGTGGTGCCCACAGGAGATCGTCTTGGGGCACATGAAATGAACTCTTGTTTCATTTCAAATACTGATGTTTCTTCCTTTAATGTGAATTTAAGGAGATTTTTATTCTAATTAATACCCCATCTTCTTCCATAAAAATATCTGAAGTGGTTTATAAAAACATGCAGTAATTCAGACAAAATCATGACTGAAAGAAAATGATTATACATGTGTCTCTATTATTCATGGCAGCCTTGAAGAACAAAATAGAGTATTATTCACAATTTCAGATAAAAATTTGACAAAATTTAAAGGTAGATATATTCCAAAGATTAAGTACATGAGGTGTTTAAAAGTGGAGCACTGGAAAGAGTATAGGCTTTGGAGTAAAATGCCTTAGTTAAAATTACAGCACTTTAATTTCCAGGCATTTTAGCTTTAAAAATAATGAGCCCCATTACCTGCCAGTTATAAACACAAGCAAGCAATAGACAGTGAACTGTACGACTGACTTCAAGGGCACCAGGTAGGTGGGCAAACTCACATCTCATTTCCTTTTTCCAGTACCCCACATGGCTAGAAATCCGTTTCCATCTCCAAATGCAAGGTACATGAATTTTATCATTAAAAATAAAATTGTTATTTATCAACAAATATATGAGCACTTATCATCATGGTCACCCTCTGATCTTTTATGATAAATGTAAGACATAGCAGTAAGTAAAGGACCCTAAGTATTTTCTTTTATGAAGGACTTCCCCACAGCCATACCCATCAAAAATAAAATTTAAGATCCCTTTGATTATCTTAATGGTATTAAATCTATCTCTGAAGTTTCATATGATGGCAAAATACTGATTATACTTGGCTGCAAAAAATCTGCCCTAACATATGGGGTGATAAATGATGTTCATTTCAGATTCAGTAGCAACAGGGAGAAGATGAAGGGGAAAGCAGCTATGTTGTAGAGCTGAGAAGAGATTACTTCTACTTTCCAAAAAATCATTACATTTTCAAGTACAGAATTCTAGTAAGAAAAGGAAATACGCTGTGTGGGCTTGTTATGTTCACTGTTGAGGCTTGTGCTAGGCAGTCTAATATGCATATATTTTAACTGGGCTGTAATGGAGTAAGGAAAAAAAAACGTGGAAAAACATTAAATAGCAAGAAGTGCTAATCACATAAAGAAAAATTAATTTCAGTAATGGTTAAGTGCCAATAGTCTTCTTCAAATGTTTTTATTACAGTAAGAGGAAGAGGAATTTTTCTCTTAATGCATAGAATCTGAAGAAAAAATTCATATACGTTTTTAAAAGAGGCCCTTTTGACAATTATTAATACAAATGTGAAATAAGGTCCTTCCAACAAATACCAATTTCAGTAATAGTTTACATACAGCAATAATTTATTCTGAAATGTTCATTTAGTTTCTGTTGAGACACAAATCATGTCTCATTAATAAAAGAGCAGCCATCTCACCTCAAATACCAGAATATACAACAGTTACAGCATAGCAAAAACTCTACCTACTTTCAGATAAAATCTAGTTCAGGTAAAATAGTTTCATTCAATGTTTTACAGTTACACAGTTTTTTTTTTTTTTGAGCACAAAACAGTGTGAATTGTTACACTGTAGCTATCTCTATGCACATCATGTAACCACAGAACTGTTAATCATTACTTCTGAAATTGAACCATCAGTTTCATTCATGCAGTAAAGCAAAAGCAGGCTGGGTAAACTTATTCATCGGGAACCATATTACTGTGAATTTCACAGCCACATGATTAATTACGATGTTAGATAGATTCACAAGGACTACAACTCTTTTTTTTGCATAAATACCAATTTCTCCCTGATGTAAGTTTAGTTAGTTTATAATCTAGAAATGATTGATAACAGCAATATATATTTTCTATCTGTAGTGTTATTTTAAGACACACGATAATTAAAGGATGGGATGAATGCTACTTAAATACATGTAAAACGTACTGTACAAATATACTTGGCTTTACCATTTTTCCCCTAAATATCAAGAGTGCCTCCCAAAATATGACCAGTGAAGACAGTGTACTATCAAATATGGCTTCCAGAACAAAACCCCTCTAACAAGAATCAAACCTATTTACAAAACTGTTCAATCTTTTTAAGTTTTCATCTGAAAATTTCTTAGAGCAGTTGTAATTAACACCTAATTTTCTTAGTTTCATCCTTCCAGCTTTTTTAAACAGATGTTACAAGGTAAGACCCAGAGTGGCGCTTAGGACTTTGAGTTCCACTGGATTCCGTGCTGTCAGTTTTTGAATCTCGTTTCTTTGTGTTGGTATTTACCGGTGTTGGGATCTGAGATGGCCGGGCAGAAGTGCTATCTGCGCTGCTTTTCCTAGGGCTTGGATTGTAATTAAAAGGAGTCACTCGGGCAGCAACAGTCCCACTAGGTGAACTGTGCTTGCTGGAGCTGCTTGAACTGAATGGGGTACGTTCTGCTATAGAATTTTCACTAGTCTCTGCTGTGGGGACAGGATTACTTGGTCCTGATTTTGTCTCCGTTCCTTTTTGGTCTGGGGCATCCACCTGAATAAAGGAGTTCAGGGGGTTTTCCAAACCTGTGCTGTGCACAGGAGCACTGCCATTACCCACATTTTGTTTTCCCTGATTATCTTTTGAATCTTTAATGCTTAGATTTACCTTTTCTGAGACACCATCAATTACTGGGGGCGTATTACCTGTGGGAGATCTTCCAGATCTAGGGTTGTTAATAGGACAGTCCTCAATTCTCACCCAAACATCCTCTGTTTTAGAAACAGCAGGTGCCATTTGATAAATCAGGGTCTTTGATTCAGCACCATTTGTAGCACCTGAGGAAGTGATTGGCAAAGTATTTGTGGGAGAAAGTTCACTTTCTTTTATTTTTCTCCATGTTCCTTTCGTGGATACTTGGTTTTCTTTAGTTTGCTTGGTTCCTGAAATAGAGTATACATGTTTTTCATCCTCACTTTTGGCTTTTTCACTGGACTCTGATGAAGCTGAAAGAATTGAAGATGAACTTCCAGTTCTTCTCCAAGTGCTTACTCGAGGAAGGGATGATGAGTGTTTGCTGTGCTCACGTTTCCAGGTTCCTGACCTATTTATTGGAAGTCTGGAAGGACTTTCAGAATGGGACCGTGCTATGTCATGACGCTTTGTTGGCCTTCCATCATTAAACTCTACAGTGGGACTGAGATTAGGTGGAAGTTTTCGCCATCCACCAGCCTGAACAGATGAGTGTGTGGAGAGAGACATATCAGGGAGGGAAGGACTTAAAACTGGCGTTTGTGCCTGGGATCTAGTGGGAGAATCTGGTCTAGAAGATGGAGAAAGAGATTCAAATGAAGCAGATTCTTCCAGTTTTCTCCTCAGGGTTGGGCTTGGAGCTTCTTTGATGAAAGTAGACTGTCGTACTAAGACAGGTCTCTCTGATCTATCAGATTCACTTCCACTTGACTTAGCTGAAGACATTCGGGAAAGTTCCACCTTTTTATTGGATCCATTGCTATTACTCATCTGATTTAGTCCTTTAGAGGCAGACTCACTTCTGGTGATACTACTGGTATTCTTGGATAAACCTGTTTGTTTGGTAAGGTTTTGTTGGCTCATCTGCCTGCCTGGGGATGTGTATGACATTTTCCCAGAACCTGAAGACTTAGTTGAAACGGTACTGGGGGATGATGTCCTGGGCAGTTGAGATAATTTGTTAGGAGGACTTATTCCATTTCTACCAGGGGAAATGGAGTTTCGCCCTGGAGACTGCATAGGTCTGCTTAATGGTTGCTGAGCAGGCCTTGAAGGAGTGGAATCTCTAGATCCTGACCTAGAAGACCCTTTATTTGACCCACCTATTTGGGAAGTCTGTCTGGTAACAGGGCTTAACTCTGATTTCACTGATGGCTTGGCTCCTCTAGGAGAAGTGGTGGCTGTCTGAGCTTCACTAGGGCTTTTGGAGGCTGGAGTCTTCAAGGGTGGCCCCTTTTTAGAAACAGGACTTGTACTTGAGGAACTATTCCGCACTCCAGGAATATGAATCATTGTCCTACCTCGAGAGATTGAAGGCATATTTGTTTGAAGGGGGTGTTTCATTTGGCTTGAAATTTCTGAATTAGATCGAACTTTTCCAGTTATCAAACTTTTATAAACTTTTTTACCTCCTTTAATTCCTTTATTTTCAGATTCCATCTTTTTAGTTTCTAATGTACTTTTCTCCCCAGGTTTGAGAATTCGTGGACCTTTATTACTTGTGAAGGGTTTTTCTTCTTGATCAGGTGTAAGATGAAAAGGTGATCCCAGAGAGATTCCTGATTTCAGTGAAAGGATAGAATCTGAATCAGATGAAGCTTGCCTAGATAAGCAGGCAGCAGCAGCAGCTTGATGTAAACTACTCACTATGGAATTTGCACCTTCCTGAATAGCTTTCCAATCAAAATTTTCCGAATCAGGGGATAAACCATGTTCTGAATCTGGTCTTTGTATATCTTTCAAATCAAGTGTCAAATCTTCAGCTAATATGCCACCCATGTTTCTGGGACTGTGCTTTTCATTATCACCCTTGAGTCTCGAGGGCCTTTTCTTTTTTGGCATTGCAGAACTTATACACTCCTGCAAGAGGTCATCTTCAGAATCAATACTAAGAGAACTGAGAGAACTATTTCTTGAAAAACAAACAGGGGTATCTTCAACATGAAATGATTTAGGAGCATAACCTGATGCCTGAGGTTTACTTTGTTCTCCTTGTGAGTCAGGAGGCTCAGTCTCTTTGATGGATTCATTTTCTTTGTTGTTGTTTTCTTGGTCAATGTCACTGAGAGAACTCAGGGAGGAATTACGAGAAAAGCACACTGGAGTATTTTCAATGGCAAAATTCTGTAATTTTTCATCAGTTGCTGCCCCTCTATCTGGTATGTCTTTGGATGACTGGGGAAAAGTGGGTGGCTTTTGTGGTAAAGGTTTAGACTGACCTCGATTTACTGGATGTTTTGTAACAGCTTGTGATTTATTAGCTGATTGTTGGTTTGAGGTTAGTTCTGTGTGACTGGTAACTTTAGCTTCTGAGTCCTTATATTCTTTCCCCTTCCTCAATTCAGCCTTTTCCCTAGAAAGGTCAACATCATCATCATCAAAATCTAGAGAACTCAAAGAGTCATTTCGTGAAAAACAGTAAGGTGTTCCTTCAATGGGGGTGTAGTGATGAGGTGAATCAAAAGCAAAACTTCCTTTGACTCGATCTTCATTGTTTGGTAGCTTATCATTTATATCCTTGGAATTATTCTTCAAGTTCTGTTTCTTTGAATCTTTGTTGTCTGAGAAAGTTCGGTCAGCATTCAAACTATTTTTTGAGTCTGTATTCTTTCTTGCACGTGTCCTACATTCGGTATTTTGTGGCATAGGTTTTACTGGTGAAGTAGGTTTCTTTTTCTTACTATCTATTTGATTTTTGTTAGTTCCAGATGAAGACACAGATGCTTGTTGGACCTGGTCCATTATCTTTTTCACACGGAAAGGCTTGTGACTTTTTCCTTTGGGCATAGCAGAATTAATGCATTCTGCAAGAATATCACCTTCCTCTGTTTTATTGTCATCCAGTTCGGGCATAGTTATAGATGACGGTTTTCCTCTCTGAGCCTCATCTGTACTTCTGCCTTCTGTAGGAATGGTATCTCGTTTTTCAAATTCACTGGACTGTGTCCCTGCTCTAGCCCCTTCACCAGCAGCTAACTCATTTGGAGGAGATTCTATTGTTAGATCACTTAGTGACGTAGCTGTTGAAAAGTTTATAGGCGTCCCTTCTACGCAATATACCCGTGGCATATCGTCTCCTGGTGTGAAACTAACGTGTTTTTGTGTCTGCAGTCTGTTTTGTGATGGTAGAAGTTTGTAGACAGGTAGTTGACTTGGTTTCCTTGCAACAGGAGGAGGTAATTTTGAAGCAGTCTGGGCTAGCTTTTTGGCTTTGCGTGATGACTTTGTTGGCATGGCAGAAATAATACATTCTTCTAGTATTTCGATATCATCATCATCTGAATCATCTAACAGATCCTTTTCAGAATCAATGTGTTTTTCTGCCTCTTTTTCCTGGTTTTCATTTGATTCTTCAGGCTGCTCTGGTTCTGTTTCATTCCCATTGTCATTTTCCTGAACTGGAGGCATTATTCTTAACTCCACATCTTTCTGTATAAATGGTTCATCAAGGCTCAGGGCACTCAGGCTAGATGAACAAGAAAATCCATCTGGAGTACTTTCTGTGGCAAAATGTAATAAGGTATCAGCATCTGGAAGGACCTGGACCCTCTGAACAGCAGCATTCACAGCAGCTTGCTTAGGTCCACTTTCTCTCTTTTCAACAGGAGGCACTTTATTTTTAGGTACCTCTCGCTTACTTTGCACTGTTTGGGGAGGAGGTGGGGGAGTTTTACTTCTGCTTGGGGGCATGGTTTGTCCAGGGCTATCTGGAAGGTCACTGGGGCTTATAATGCCACTTACCATCCCACTGCATGGTTCACTCTGAACAGAGCTGGCTATGGAACGACTCTCAAAACTATCAAGTGAACTGACAGAAGTACATCTGCTAAACATGAGTGGAGTCTCCTGAACATAGTGCTCTGGTGGACTTTTGGGTGTCTGAGCACCACTTTTGGAGGGAGATTTTGCCCCTGAAGAAAATTCAACAGCTTTGTGCCTGGTTGATTCTGAAGATAAACCAGAAGCCTGGAGTCTGCTGGATTTGGTTCTAACATGCTGTGACGCTGTTGACACTTCATTTGCAGGATCTTCAGTTGCTCTAGTCACACTATTCTCTTTTATTTCTGCTATTTTCAGAGTATTAGCAGAATCTGCTTCTTGTGTTGTCTGATCACATCCTATTTCATCTTCAGCTGATGACAAAGATGATAAGGAACTACACCTTGAAAAACAAATTGGGGTGTCTTCTACACAGTAAGTCTGGATTGTTTCTTGGTTGATAGAGGGAACCTTGCAAGTGGTACCTTTTTGAGTCTGACCACTTATACTTTGTGCTGAATTTGGATGCAGCTGATTCTGCCTCTTGGCATTAGAGGAAGGTGTGGATGTATTCTCACTGCTTGACGAGATGTGTTCGGTTTTACAACTCTGTGCAGATGAACTCTTTGAGAATGAAAATGATGGTTTCTGTGAGGAAGAAACGTCAGTGGCATATTTTAAACTATAATCAATAGGCTGATCCACATGATGTTTTTCTTCATTATATTTTATGCTATAATTTGTTGGTCTCTCTTCTTCATGCTGTTCTTCCTCAGAGTAACGTTCGCTATAGTTGGTTGGCTTATCATCTTCATAGTCATCTTCCTGACACAAAGGCTGGTTTACGTTTTGGTTAATCCCATGAGTTGAACCCACTCGGTTTGCTTCAGAGCCATTAGTTCCCCTGGACCTGTATGGGGAAACACATTCCTGCTGTCCAAAATGTTGGAACTTGAGGTGCTTATCATCAGTGCTCTCAGCATATACAGGGTAAGTGGTATTTTGACTCCTTGATTGTCTTTGTTCACTTTGTTTTAGTTCATCTTCGATTACGTGTTTGGGTCTTGCCCATCTTTCATTCTGTGAAGGACTCTGTCTTCCAGAGTTCAGCTGCTCATCTGAGTATTTAAGGCTATAATTTATTGGTGTGTCTAGCTCTCCATCATTATCATCCATGTGATTTGCACTATGTATTTTATGGGCTAGGTCAGCTGGATATTGACCGTAACTGCAAAATTTACTTTCATCATCTTCAGAATATGATTCAATTGAGGGTTTCATTTGACCTCTTTTACCATAACCATCACTACTACTGACACTATTTAAACTATCATTTGAAGATCTCTTATATTCCAGATTGGTATAAGGCATAGAACATGTCCTATTTGAATTTTCTGACTTAGTGAAATTGTATGTGTTTGAATGTGTGTGGGCAGCAGAGCTTCTTCGTATTGCATTCCTTTCGTCTGTAACACAGTGTAATTCCGTGGTGGAACCAGAATTCCTATCTTCTTGGGAGGTATGAATGGCCGATACTTCTTCCATAACTTTGGCAATCTGAACTGCAGTGGTAGACATCTGCAAACTTCGTTTTGAAGAGGTTCCTGGGTTTTCTGTTGCTGGATGGTAGCTGCTTAGGCCAATCCCTCGTTCTCTCTCCAAACTTCTGTCTTTTTCAGAACGAGAACTATCTAAAGTTCCCCTTGAGGAAGAGGAGCTGGGCAATACAGTAGTATTCAAGTATGGAGAAAGAACAGTCATGTTTCCAGTATTAAAACTGTCTGACCTATTATCATCATGTCGATTAGAATCAAAAACATAGTCACCATAAAGACTTTGCTTGTGTCTCTGCTTACTACGATGAGATGCCTTGGGACTTAAACTGTCAATATTGTCAAAAGTTTCTGATAAATGCTGGGCATCTAATTCTGCTTCTAGGGCTTTTTGTTTTCTAACATGAAGAGATGGCAAGCTTGAACCAGGAGACATAATATTGGCATCTTTATACTTTGCTGGTCTATTTGCCATGAGATTCCTTAAAGCTGCAGCGCTTCCCATAGCAATCATTTTGTGCTTTGAATGAATGAGGTTCTTGAGCATGCTGACTGCCCCCATGTCCCATAATGCTTCCTGGTCTTTAGGGTTTCTTGCTGAGAGATTCCACAAAGTTCCACATGCATTACTGACTATTGTTAAACTGTGAGATTTTAAGTGTTGTAATAAAGTTTGTAAGCAGTTGTTATCCCTTAGGATTTGCCTAGAATAAAAACAAGACATCACAAATTAAGGTAAAAAATCTGTATCAATACAAATAAGAGAATAGAAAGCAAACTTAAATCTAAAGATTAATAGGAAATTTAATAGGTATAATACTGTACCAATTAACCTATACGTTCCAAGCATCCGCATCTCTTTTTATTCTTTCGTACATTTGTTTTAAATTACAGATATTCCTTGTTTAAGGACCTATTTACCACCCAGGGGTGCTGTTAAGACTTATGACCCCACCACTTGGACTTACCTGTCTTTTTTTGTACAGTTCTGCACATCTTGTTGATAGAGCCTCAGTGTCTTTTTATACAGTATACCTTTATACAGTATTGTAATTTTTGCTGATTGTAGAGTACAGTGCTATAGTTTCATGTTATGTTATATATTATAGCACTGCATGTAAGAGTTATGCAAATAAAAGCAAAGTCATCAAACTGGAGTTTCCTGTGACCATTTCCTTGTTCTGCATATTGTAATGTACACACTATATACAATTCCTCACTAGTGGCCAGCTCAACAACCTGGTAGAAGGACTGTAACTCAGTTGTTAAACAAGGAATGTCTGTACTTATTTGTCAGACTAAAAGAAGAAAAAGTGTTATTTTTTTTCCATCTATGCTATACTTCCTATTCTGAACCAGTATCTTAAAAAAAATTTGGAGGGCAGATATATTTATTTACATGGCAACTGTTTCTCAATTTAAGAATTGTAAGTATATCATAAAACTGTTAAATGGGAACTGGATAGTAATTTAATCTACAGATGCTTGTCACAGTGTGGATTGCTGAGATATCTTGGAAGAGACAAAGAGACTCACTGAGATAGCCTTAAGAACTCAGGGAGCTTACTGTATACTCTTATACCAGCATACTTACTTTCTAGAATTATCTCTATGTCTCTGGCATTATTTTGTGATATTGCCATCTCCTTTACAAGTATTCTCTGACAGTGTGTACAGTCACTACTTTTTTTTCTTTTGAGACAGGGTCTTGCTCTGTTTATAGCTCAGACTGGCCTTGAACTCACTGTGTAGCCCAGGAAGGCTTCAAAATCCTGCCTCAGCTTCCCAAGTGCGGGGAGTTGTTAAACATAATATAAATTAAAGATTTTTAAGATATTTAAAACATATAAATACAGGGCTAAGAATCAATATAATGAACTATGGTACTGGTAAAAGCTATACCAGTTTGTTTAATGCACAGCAAATTGAGCCTTAATGATAGCATATTCTGCTTTAGTGGGTTCTAAAATTGACTGGCAAGAGTGTACAATAAGCTCTAATATAGTGGTCTTCCCAGTAGTCCAGAAGTCAACTGATTCCTTATTGAGTTTAAGATATCTTTGCGTAGCAGAAAGGGATGTAAAGCCTGTAGTCTGTGCATCAAAAACTTTTTTTCTTTCTCCATAAAACTGAGGATAAAACCCAGGGCTTTAGTGCTGAGATGTATTCCCACCCCTTTAAATTTTCTATTTTGAGACAAGGTCACACTAAATCACCAGGTCCCTTAGACTAAGCTGGAATTTATGATCCTCTTGCTTCAGCCTCCCAGAGTGCTGGGATTATAGACGTGTGCCACCATGCTTGAAAAAGATGTTTACTTATATTCCTACAGGCCCATTTACTAAAAGAAACTCATGTTCTTTTGGAAAATCAGAGGAACAGTACTGGATAAATTAAATTAATAAGTGTGAAAGATACTCATTTTTTTAAACCGGGTGTGGTGGTGCATGCCTGTAATCCCAGCACTCTGGAGGCTGAGGCAGGAGGATCGCTGTGAATTTGAGAACAGCCTGGGCTACACAGTGAGTTCCAGGTCAATCTCAACTATACAGTGAGAACCTGTCTCAAAAACCAAACAAACAAACAAAAAAGATAATCATTTTTCTTTTTTTTGACAGAATACAGACTCCAAGTTTTAAAAATGTGTGATCTGACCAGGAAGTGATCTCTTGGATTCAACAGATCTAGGCACTTAGATGACTGACTGGTGGTTAAATATGGTTACTGATGTTAAGACTTACTACAAAAATGTGCATGAGTCACGTTCAATTTTTTGCTTTGTTTTGAAATTAAGGGGCTGGGGATGTACCTTAGTGGTACAACACCTGCTTGGCAAGTAGGAGGTCCTAAATTTGATTCCCAGTACCCCCCAAATTCTTATATTCGAAAGATGCAAATCAAAACAATGCTGATATTCCATCTCATTACAGAAAAAATGTGTTATCAAGAAATCAACCAATAACAAATGCCGGAGGGGTTGTGGGGGAAAAGGAAACCTTCTTTCTCTACTGTTGGTAGGAGTGTAGACTGGTGCAACTACTGTGGAAATCAGTGTGGACATTGTTCAACGAACTAAAACGGGAGGTACCATTTGACACAGCTATTCCTTTTTTTCTTTGGTTTTTTTTGAGACAGGGTCTCACTGTGTAGGTGAGATTGACCTGGAACTCACTATGTAGCACAGGCTGGTCTCGAACTCATAGGGATCCTCCTGCCTGAGCCTCCCAAGTGTGCTGGAATTACAGGCATGGGCAACCATGCCCGGCTCACAGCTATTCCTCTTATTGTTATCTTTTCTAAAGAATTAAAAGTATCATACCAGGAGTGATATATGCACACCCATATTTACAGTGGCACAATCTGTACTAGCTAGATCTTGGAAACAGCCCAAATGCTCATCAACTGATGAATGGATAAAGAAGATGTGGTCTTTCTTTCTTTCTTTCTTTCTTTCTTTCTTTCTTTCTTTCTTTCTTTCTTTCTTTTTCTTTTTGGTTTTTTGAGACAGGGTCTCACTGTGTAGTTGAGACTGATTTGGAATTCCTTGTGTAGCCCAGGCTAGTCTTGAATTCACAGCAATCCTCCTGCCTCAGCCTCCCAAGTGCTGAGATTACAGGCGTGCGCCACCACACCCAGCTGAGATGTGGTTTTTGTATACAGTAGAATACTACTCTGTCTAAAGAAGGATGAACTTGAGACATTTATAGTTAAATGGATGCACTTTGAGACCATACTCAAGTGAAATAAATCAAACACATGCTTAAATATTATATTGCTTTCCTGGTGTGAGAAACCAAAAGTGGAAATACGGACTAAAATGTACAATAGACATTGGGAATTGGGAAGAAAATGTTCATATGAGAAGGGGAACAAGGGAGGGGAAAGGGGAAAGTAAAAAAGGCAAGGAAAAAAAATCTAAGGAAAAAATGGAAACAAGGACTTTGTACATGGGGGGGGCAGAGGAAATAAAAAGCACAATACAACATGTACCAGTACAAATTCCCTATGATAAAATGTTATCATTATATACATCTAAAATGTACCAATAAATGCTTTGCTAAAAAAAAAGTAAAATTAAGTCATATATGCCATGCTAATAAACAAGAAGGGATTTTGTTCTAATATCTGTGACTTTTTTTTCTTCCACATATAGGCTATATCTCTCAAGTATCATTTGCTCATTTCTGGCTTATGATACTATAAACCTTATTAGAATAAACACACTAATGAGTTTAACTAGGAAAAATTGTCTTTTCACTGTAGTAAATGTATTTTGGGCTAGAACTTTCATAATTAAAAGAACACTGTTATAATTAGGTCTTTTTGAAGAAATTAATTCTACTTTAATTAATTTTAAAGTAATATAAAACTCTGTATGTACCTGTGGTCCTCGTTTGTAGCTATCAAGCTGGACACATTCCGTAATATCCCACCTCCACTTTCAATGATGGCTAAAGTGTTTGTCTGGCTCCGGTAAGTCAGAGTGCCAACCAAAAATGCAAGTGCACCATCTACAGCACATATATCAGCTTTATTCTCAGTGCAATGTGCTGACAAATTCCATAAGGCACTCAATACGCTTTTGAGGGTTGATTCCTATTAAGAAACAGAATATGTGATATCTGATTAGTTAGAATTAGTTTCTCATAATTTGTTTATGTCTTCTGAATGAAAGTTAAGAACTTAGGTAGTACACATATACATATCTTGTCACATCAGTAGATACAGTATTTTATTGTATTAAAAACCTTCCTCTCTCTCCCTCTCTCTCCCTCTCTCCCCCTAACCACCCACCCACCACCCACCTACCTACGTATAAATAAATGAAAAGTAACAGTATGTCTGGGTGCGTAGTACACACTGTAATCCCAGCACTCTGGAATTCCTGAGGCAGGAGGATCACAAGTTCAGGTCCAGCCTATGCAACTTAGTGAGACTCTGTCTCAAAATAAAAAATAGGATGGGGTCTGGGGATTTAGCTCAGTGATGCAGATGCCTGTTTTGCAAGCATAAGGTCCTGAGTTTAATCTGCAGTACCAAAAATAAAAAATAGAATGGGGATATAGCTCAGTGCAAAGACCTTGGGTTCAACTCCCAGTACCAAAAAAAAAAAAGCAAAACATCAAAAAACCAAAGTAATTACAAAAAGCCAGAGATACCTAATACATAATATCTTAGTAAACGGCCAGATAGTAATTGCCATAGTTAAAAATATTTGCTCACAATTTGCCATGACCCCGGTGACAGTCTTTCTCTTTTGTGGCATTGGCGATTGAATTCCAGGTCCTTGTCTGTGCTAGGGAACTGCTTTACCACTGAGCTACATCCCGGGTCTTATTTTATTCTGAGATGGGGTTTTACTTTTCACCAAGTTTCCTAGGCTGGTCTTGAACTTGCAAATTCTCCTATCTCAGCCTCCTGAGTAGGTGGGATTTATAGGAATATAACATAAGGCCAAGCTCATATTTTTCTTCTATTATTAAATTTCAGGGCTGGGGATTTCACTCAGTGGCACCAAGCCTGCCTCTCAACCACAAGGTTCTGAGTTTGATCCCTGGTTAATAGAAAAACAAATTTTTTTTCAAAAGTTTTCTAGGTATAATGTAATATATTTCACCAGAAATATAACTAAATAATGAAAGAAAAAAACCTTTGTGTTCCTGAAAAGGATAGTTTTGAAGAAGAAAATGTAGATTGTGCCAGGACTGGTGGTGTGTGAGCTTCACTCAAGCCTACCAGTTGGAGACCAGCCTGGGCAACGTCATGATACTTCATGTCAAAAAAAAAGAGAAAAAAAAAAAAAAAAAAAAAAAAAAAAAAGAAAAAAAAAATGGGGCTGGGGATTTAGCTCAGTGGTGCCACTGCCTGCCTCCCAAGTGCAAGGTCCTGAGTTCATTTCCCAGTACCCCCCCGGCCCCACAAAGAAGAAAATGCAGGCTGTGGGTCTTGGACTGGTTGGAGAAAGTGGAGTAAGATAAGTAAGATAAGTTGCTTGATCCCTCTCAGATTAAGTTTTTTAAAATTTTAAATTGGCTAAGTTTCTGAAGTAGACATCCCACTGGAGATACTTGCTTCTGTAAATAATTCATTATTTAGGGATTCCTCACTTTTGGATCTGATTATCTCTTAATAAAATGACCATCAAACTTTTGAGGACTTTGAGAGAGCTCAAAAGGTAACATACCAGATTCTTCATCGTGAGTGATTTTGTCCTCCCTCCCTCCCTCCCAGGGGACATATGGCGATTTCTGGAAATATTTCTGATTGTCACAACCGGGAGAAGGGTGTACTGGCAGCTAGTGAAGCTGCTGAATATCCTAAAATGCACAGGTCGGTCCCACAGAAGAGAGAACAAGGTCTAAAATATTTATAGTGTTGAGGCTGAGAAACCCTGACTAAGCCACCTTGTACAGTTTTCCCCTTCATACTTTAGGGGTTTGGACTAAAACAATGGACTGGTGAGATAAACAGATCAGAAATTCAGGTATCCTTGGATGGATGAAGGCAGCAAGAAAAAGTAGCTAGCTGACCATGGATTCATATTTCAATACTAAACATTTTCAAAGGTACCTTTTTAACTTCCAAAGCACATTCCATCAGTGCTTTCACACTTCCAACTTCCCTCAATGTCTTTTTACTGTTTACATCTGCTCGCCAGGACAAATTCCTCAAAACACTTGCAATAACCTGCAGATGAACCAAATATATAATTAATTTGTATATTATCATCTTGGGCATGGACTCAAGTCTGAATACAAAATTCATTTATATTTATATTCATTTATAAACCAGGTCATTAGCCTGCTAATATCCAAGAAAAAAACATCTGACATTCTGTAGTACCTGTTGTAAGTCTTCACTTTCAGATTTTAGTTGGGCCACAAGCGCTCGCATGCAGCCCTTCATAGAACAGAGTGTAGCCTGTAGAATGAGATATGCAACAGTGTCATCAACAAGACAACCTGGAGCTGTGATTTGGTTCTGGACACTAAACTTCAAATTTAATTTTTACTGTTTCATCTTAATCATAACTGATGTTTTTCACCCATCAACAATCCAGAATAAGATTACATAAATAATGGAAAATATTCTCCTAAATTTTTTGTTATCTGTTCCTCCCTTTCCAAACTAGAAAAAGAAAGTGAATGTGATAAAAAATGATAAGGAATTTAATATAAGGTTTTTCATCTGGATGGAATCAATATGTGTATAACACTTGTCTCAGTTATCAGGATTTTCAGATTTCTGCTCTCATTCCTAGGAATTTTTAATGCAATTATATACATTTCATATTGTTCCACATGTGAATGAGTCTTGTCTTTATTTATGCGTAAGACAACCAAACGAATAAGGATATGCAGTAGGTGTGAAGTATAGGTTTATTTATACTCATTGTTTAATTAGGAGGGTGACGAAAGAAAATCAGTGAAGAGTAGTTAGGAAACTTAATTCATACTTGAGCTACCTTAAGAAACAGATCTTATAAAAAACATACCTTGTTGGCAACATCTCCGAAAGTCAAGTTTGTTAAAGCCATTCCAGCATATCGTCTTAAAGTAATACTGTAGTGGTCATTAGTAAGCCCATACATTTCACAGTCCACTTGCAATAATTCTGCAATGGCCTGTAGTCCCCCTAATTTAAAAAGGGCAAAAGGAAAAGACAATAAGCTAAAGTAAAATAAATTTTAGTTGGTAACTTAAGTAGTAGGAAAAGATCTCAAAGCATGACAATATATGGTTTAAATTTGCCTTTAGAATTACAAACCACAAACACTGAAAGGACTTTTCTGTAATATATTTATAAAGTACAAATTATAACTATACCATATTCTGCCTGTTTTTCCACCCTCCAGCCTCTTGCTTCACTGAATGAAATGAGTATTATTTTCCATTTATTGCATATACATTACATTTTGCCAATAATGAAGAAGGCTATTTTCTAACATTAGGTCTTCCTAAATGTAAACAAAAAAGGCAATTTATTTTTACTACAGGGCTTTATAAACACTCTTCATTGTCACACAGTATGGCCTAATTATTTCAGCATTTTCTTACTGATCAAACAATACTCTTAGGAATAATGAAATTGTAAATGAAACTGCATAAAGCAAAGCTTACTTTTTCACAAAACATTTATCTGTTCAACTTATTACTAAATTCTATAAAGCTACTTATTTGTGCATGTGTTTTTAGTTTCTTACTTTTCTTTGATAGTATCAAATACCAAAGGTATGAGGATTTAGTATTTTCTTTCTATTCTTGCCAGGGAGAATGCTCAACAATGCCCACAGTGGTCAACATTAGAAATGTAAAGAGGAAAACAAAGGGAAAAGAAAGGGAAGGACAAAAACGGGTTAAAAAAAGTGAAGCAAAATGGTGGAGTGAACAAAGAAAGACAAAAATGCATATGGCACTATAAAATATTATCATCATTAAACATTAATCATCATGGGACTTAGGATACGGTTTTGTTATAGAGAAGTGGCTGAGACAGAAACAAAGGTGACTATAGACAGGTAATTCTTGGACACTAAGCCTACACATGTTATTAATCGGAAAGAGGACAGAACATCAATATTTTTATAAATGATCTAGAAGGATCAGCATATAGAAGATCCTGCAAGTTTGCAAAAACAAATTTCCATCTTGGGGCAAGAAATCCAGGCCAAGTGATATAGCTGTGATTAATGCAAATCTTTATGACTAGAAGAAATGACAACTTTGAATGTCAATAACTAAACATTCATTTGTTTAAAGAAAATCCAGACCATATTTACGACTTCTTGCATCCACTTGTGACAGTAGAAAACATGTAGGTAGTGAACCAAAACAAATCACTGTCTTTATGGAGCTTACAAAGTAGAGCAAAGAGAGACACTGAAAAACTAATTTAAGTGTGATGGAGTGTATCAAGCACAGGGTTAGAAAATAGATGGTCTTAACTTAGATCTGGGGTAGAAGCAGATCCTAAGAAAAAGAATCAGAAAATAATGTTTAAGGTAAGAGTTAAAGGATGAATGAATATTTAACAATTTTGGGGCAAGGATAAGAATTCTAGAACTAGTATGTGCAAGGGCCTCTGGGCTTGAGATATAGAGAAACAAGGAGAGGGCCACAGATGAGGCTATAAAAATGGGTAGATATCAGACCACGTAAGACTTTGTTTTCCATTAAGAATTTTAGGCAGAGGAAAGAAATAATTAGATGCACATTCTAAATAGACTATTACGGCTGCAATGAGTAGCAGGGATTATTATTGGAAACAGCGAGAGAGAGGGAGGGAGAGAGAGAGAGAGAGGAGGTAAGACAAGTACAGCAGAATAAGTGAGATAACAGTGGGTTGGTCTGGGGATGAAAAGAATAGCAATATGAGATAAAATTAAGAAGCAGAACAAAAGCATTCAGTTACTAGGTGTAGTGAAGTAGGGGAGAGTCAGGGATGATTTCTTAAAACGTTATTTTGAATTCCTGGATTGATTAGGATGCCAAAAGGAATTCTGGAAGGGAGATCTGAAAATAAAGAAGTAACAAATTCAGTTTGTGACAGGTGAGCTAGAAGTGTCTGAAATACCATATAAGGAAGATGTCAGATAAGGAGTGTGATATGTCTAAAACTCAGGAAGGAGAACTTGGATTGAGATGTGTAAAACACTAACTGAATACTAACGCTAGCAGGTAAATGAAGCTTTGGGAGTGAATGATACTAAGCAAGATGGAGAGACTGCCTAAGGCAAAGAAAGCCTCAAGGAAAGCTACTGTTTTATACTTGCGTAAAGGGGAAGGAGCCAGTAAAACAACTGAAAATTTTGACACAGGATATTGACATGGGAGTTACTGCAGAACTGAAGACTGTTATTTAGAATACTGATGATATCCTCAAACTGTTGAATTTTATGAAGCAGAGTATCAATGCTGAAATAAAACAAACCACTTTGTTTCTGCATAAAATTCTGCCTGGTGTAACAATATCTGGAATGCTTAAGGAAGGTAAGATGCATCCTCAAAACAGCATGTAATTGTCAAAGGAGTTGAATACTCTTGTGTGGAAAGACTAAAAAGTTTAGAAGTTTACTCTGAGAAGAGATTTGAGAAGGATATAGTAGATGTCAATAAAACCATGAAGAACATGGCTAATGAAAAAAAGAATATTCAGTAAATTTTGGAGTATCAGAAGGAATCCTTTAAAATTTCAGGTAAATGGCAGGGGATTTAGCTCAATGGTTCTGCTGCCTGCCTTACAAGGGCAAGGACCCAAGTTCAATCCCTGGTACCAAAAATTTAAAAAAAAAAAAAAAAAAAAAAAAAAAAAAAAAAAAAAAATTAAGGAAA